TTTTCTCCCTCTGGTATCATCTTCACCTCCTGGGTAGCTCTCACTTCCCATAGTACTTCCCTACCTTTCCTTATAGAGTAATACTACACTCAATATACCAGCAGACCACTGTGAGTCATTTTGGTAGCAGGGATGCTATGCACACTCCTTATTCCCCCCTGGCCTTATCCTTTGTGTCTTTTCTTACTGTCATGGCTGCCATAATCTTATGATCTCAAACACTTGCAACCCCTTTTCCAAGGGGGAAGTCGTATCTGGCTGTGCCTGAGTGTGTTTTCTTCACCTCTAGCTCCCTCTCTTCTGTTTATGAGGGAGCTGAATAGTCGGAGGTACTTTGCGCAGACATGTGACTTGGAAATACAATTTTAATTCCAGCCACGAGGGGACCTTCATAGCTTATTGTCTCTTTCCTGCAGGTTCATCTGATCCATGCACTTAGATCTGTAAAACCATGCTTACATCCACAGATATCCTACATCTCCCTCCTAGCTGAGGATCTGTTTGATCCCCTGTTAAGTCAACTGTCATATCTCGGAACCTGCACCCAACTTTATTCCACTGCATAAACACAGGAGCTTCTTTCCTGTGTTTCCCCAGCAGCTTTGGATTCCCCTTTCAGGTCAACAACTTTCCAAAGCCTCTGGGTTCCTTGGGGGCAATAATATGGGATACTGAGCTGACAGCAGGGCTGGGGACTGCAAAAAGTGATTTCTGCCTGTGCTGATCCATAGATTATGGACCAAAGGTCCAGGGTGAGCAACAGCTGAAGCATTCTTTGTGCCACTGCACACCTTAATAATCCAGCTACAGTGTGATTTTTAAAATTGTTGTCTGAGTTACAGTTATGCTGCTTCTTAGGTAAAAAAGGATTCCTCTCTTTAGTTATTTATTTTAATATGGCTTTCATGTAGGTAGCAGGTGTCCAGAGTTTATATCAAAAAGACCCCATGTCTTGCATAGAGAAAGTTGGTAAATAGGCTACAAAAATTAACCTGAAAAATAAGGAGCTTCAATTTATCGCAGCAACTGTTTTCATGTCACATAACCTGGCCTTGGAGTCTCATTCTCCTCCTGCACGCAGCAGCTGTCTACTTGCATAATTTGATCTGCTTGTGTTTGTATGACTAAAAGAGGATGTGACTGTAACATTAACTGACTTGCTCACTTAGCCTAATGAACAGCAAAGAGAGACCAATTAAAACACGCAGCCGGGGCCCCCAGCCCGGGGAGGTGGTGGCAAGACACTGAAGCTGCCCGTTGTCACCGCCGCGGTTACTCTGCCAGCTGCACTGGGCTGGCCAGCTGGCCACCCTATCACCTGCTCTGCTACCCCCTCTTTTGTGCAGAGAAGCATCATCCCTCCGCAGAGCTGCTCCTGACACTACTCCTGAGAGGCAGACAGCCCATCCATCCCTTTCCCCCTGGACTTCCTGTGCTCTTCATCTCAGCCACAGGGGGGAACCTCCGCCTCAGGCATGAACGGCCCGTTGGTGAGCTCAGATCTTTCCTTAGGCACGACCAGCACACAGGCCATGTGCTTTTCCCGTTCAGGAGAAAAAGGAACTTTCTGTCTAAAAATGTACCCAACTTTTTTTCTCCCCAGTTATATCCTGAAAGAGATATAATAACTACTTATAAAAGCTATGTCGCTTGTATGTCTTGCATTCAAAAGAGACGTGATTCACAACTCTCAAGTACTTTTCAGGTGTTTTAAGTTCTGCTCAGGTTAGAATTAAAGAATGTAGCATTTCTCAGATATCATCCTCTAGGGTCTCTGAGAAATCTCATGTGGGCAGCGAAGTATTTTGTGCTATACAGGCCAAGCTAAACCCAAGGCTCCCCTCTAGATCATATTTAAAATGTTGTCTTCATGAAATCTTTCAAATCTGTTTAGAAATGTCCATCGCATCTTTGCCTCTGTATTGTCAAGGCTTAGACACGCTATGGGAATGCAAACTGAAAGGAAGTAAAAATAAGCAGTATGTTAATGATACCAATGTTTAGAAAGGGATTTCATGGGAATGAAATACTCTTATATTTGCCAATATAAATAAAGGCAGAAAGCTCTTTTTGTAGCAGGAGTGTGTGAAATGTGAAACCCCGGCAGTGCAAAGCAATACCGATATGAATCAGAATGACTGCGATAAGCAAAACACTACCCCTGGAGGTGGGAACGTGATCTGGCGGTTACAGTAGCAGAGAGCAAAATTGAAGCTCCCCGTTTCTGTCCCGACAAACTATATGTCTGTAGATCATTCACGTACTGTCTGTCAGTTTACGCATCTGTAAAACAGAGACGTATTTATCTGTATCTCTTGCCAAGCATCACTAATGAGCGCCGATAGCCCTGTCTTGACAGGAATGCGGGATTTCACAAATGGAAAGTACAAGTCATTAGCACTTTGCCAGAACACAGAGCACCATTCCTTTTGTGAAAACAGCTGTACAGGCAAATGTGGTGATACTGACAGAAGAATCTCTTTATTCTCCTGGCAGTGCTGAAAGACTTGGAATTAAATCTTACACAAACTTCAGATCCCTAGCTCTCTAAAGCATATATCCCATAAAAGAAGTCAATTAGACCAATCAATCTCCACTAATCAATATTATTAAAGGGTAATATTTTATTTTTATGCCTTTATTAAAAAAATGCACTGAGTATTTTTATTTCTACCTTCATTAACTGAAAGTAAAACCTTTAGAGTGATATTTTATAACTGACCTGAGTTGGTAGTTTCACAGCCGTTGCCAAGATTAAGGTTTCCTAAATAAGGCTTCCTAACCATAGACCACACACAATCCTGTCATTGCAGAATCAGCAAACAGAGCAACAGCTAATAGAGACTGGAAACCGAAATATCCTTCCACGTGCTGTAGGGCACCCCTGAAGGGTTCCTGTTTGGCCTGTGAAAGCTGACACTTAACCAGTCTGCTGTGAATAACTATATTTTTCTAGTTTGCTTGCCTACAGATGGAAGGTGCCACAGTGACATAAAATAGTCATGTGTCTAACCTGTGTGTGTGCAATCCTGGATACCCATTTAAAACTGGCCTTTATATTTTCTGCTCTGTCTATAAATTTATCACTGTGAGCCTTCTTATAAAACCACCAATTATAAAATCATGCATTTGACTAAACTGTTATTACTTCAGGTATGTATTAGGCCTAATCAGATTTCATGTTTTGAGACTGCCTTTCTGCATCATGAAATCTGAAACTAATTACAAAGTTAATAATAAAAGCAGTGACTATATTCTCTCAGAAGGAACTTAAACCCATTACAGTTTTACATGAAAGAATACTCTCCTACAGGTGCTTTGGTTTTCTTTCTGCCTATTGGAGAAAAGCTACACTGTCAGCCATTCACCTCTGCACTTTACTGATACTGTTTTCACATAGTTTGGTGGCGTTGTCACCCCTGCCTCATCTACCACATAAACCTTGGGAGAACTCCCACAACTGCTTGTACACAAAGAACTAAATCCACCACAAGACTTGGCCATTTAAACTGGAAATTCAGACTGCCCAAATTCCTGCTTAGGCACCACCAAATTCTAGAAAAGCATCTGAAGATGCCTGAATTATTATTTATTAAGTTTCCCAGCTGTCTTCCTGTCTGCTCCCAAACATTCAAAGGTTGTGGGCCCTTTGAAAGGCACAGCAGTCACCTCAGGAGAAGGCATGTTATCTTGAAACAGGCTTTTTCAAAGGTTGCCTGTAAGATCGGGCAGTAATATAGTCAACTGCAGCTGAACAATCTGAACAAATCACAGGACAGGTTAACAATTTTATAGCATCACGGGACCGAGGAGTCCCAGCCGCGGCCCTGGGCTGAGCCTTTTATGTGTGGAGCGAGCACAGCCCCTTCTTCGAGGAACTCACAGCCCAAGTATCAGGCAAGAGACAGCAGATGGTGAGAGACAGATGGGAGAGTACAAGGAAACAATGAGATAAATGAGCAAAAACTCAGTTGAAGACTTCAGCATTTGGTTCCAAAATTATTTAATTTTACTAATCATTTCAGCTGATGTAACCCTACGTTAAGAACGCCTTTCCTGTTCCAAAGGTCTTAATAGCTACAATTACAACACATGGCTCAGCCCAGCACGGGTTACATTTTAGATAAAGAGTGGGAGTTAAGGAGGCAAGAAGTACCAAGGCGGGAGGGTGTCAAATGCTGAAATTAATTCGTAAAGGGGGCTGGGGTATCTCGGCAACATGCAGCTTAAGGCAACCTGATTAAGCACAGCTCAGTAGGTAACGCGCTGACTGACGGAAAATTCAGGCTTTAAGGGAGGCCGGCGCTGGCCCGCAGCCCCTGTCACACGCGGGCGAGCCTGTTCGCAGCCAGCCGGGCATGGCACACGCGAGACGCGCAGCCCCACCAGCGCGGCCGGCGGAGCCCCCGCGCTCCAGAGGCTCAGTCCTCACGGCGGGGTCACTCACGCACAGCGATCTAGTCCCCGCGGGCTGGTGACAGCCCAGTCGCCCCCCCGCCCCCGCGGGGAGCGCTAAGCCACCCCCAGGATGTCGCGGTCTCGGACGGCAGCCCTGGAGGCCAGGGCGTGCACCGAGGGCTGGTAGGGCGCACCGAGGGGGGGGATCACACGCGGACCCTGAGAGGGCCGAAATCCCGACAGAGCGGCAAAGGCCACCTCGCCCCGTACCCACAGCTGGGAGGGGGCTGGGGCGGGTCGCACCGCCCCTCCGGCCCGCGGGCGGCCGGGGCGCGCCGCCCTGCGCAGCCGCCGTGCCCGGGGAGCCGCTGCCCGGCGAGGGGCGGCGGGCGGGAGGCGGCGCCGATCGGAGGTAAGGCGGGGGCACCCTACCGGGACATCCCACCGGGACACCCCGAGGCCGCTCCCCGGCGACCGCCTCAGGGAAAGCGAAACCAAAAGGAGGGTGGCGGCGGTGGCAGCGGGAAGGGGCGGGCAAGGGGCTCCCCGCGGCGCGACTCGACTCGCTCCTCCCCTCGGCGCCGAGGCGGAGCGGGCGGTGGCGGCGGGCGGGCTCAGCGCGCCCCCATGGCCCTGGTGCTGGGTCAGCGGGCACAGTAGCCGCCTCCGGCTATTCCCGCGGGTGACTCAGAGGTACTCAGGGAAGGCAGGTTGGAGATGCGCCTCGCCTCCGGGCTTCGGGCTGCGGCCGGAGACTGAGCCACAAAGAAGTTTTCCCGGCGGCGGCGGTGAGGCGCTCCCCTATGCACCCCTCCGGCCGCCGATCCTGGAGCGCTGCTCGGCAGGCGCCCGGCGCCGACCCCGCCATGGAGCCCCGCGCGGGGCTGCACAGCAGCCCGGAGCTCAGCCGGGCCAAGCGGCTGAGCGTGGGGGAGCTCTGCTCCCTCTTCGAGGCTCGCTGCGCCGCCGTCGCTGCCGCCGCCGCCCGCCAGCTGCCCGACCCGGCGAAGAGGGGCTGCCGACGCCCCAACGGGGTGCTGCCGCCCGTCATCCCCCGGCTCACCGTCACCGCCGAGGACAGCGAGGAGACGCAGGGCAGCCCCCAGGCGCGGCCGCCGAAGCCGGAGGGCAGCTGGCTGAGGACGGGCAGCTCGCTGCACCTGCAGTCCCGCAGACTGTCCAACTCCTCGCTCTCCTCCACCGGCTCCTCGTCCGTCCTGGAGGACTCGGAGGACGACGTGCTGAGCGACACGGAGTGCAGGAGCCAGGGTATCGTGCACTTGGAGCACGGCGAGGACACCAGCCAGGTAGGGAGGAGCGAGGGGGAGCGGTTCGCGCCTGACGGGGCTGCTCGGCGTCTCACGGACGCCTCGGGGCCACCAGGCGCTCCCGCTTGGAATGAAGTTTCCGTGACCCAACTCCACGCAAAGTCTGGGAAACTCCTGTCCGGGGGCCGGCAGCGGTGCGCTGCCGTACGCAAGCTGTTGCGCCTGTTGGAAAAGCGCTGCTGCACGTTGGCTCTTCTAAAACCCGGCCAGGTGTGCGCTGTGGAATTGTGCTTGGTGTCCCAAGAATACGGGGAGATGGTTTTTGATCATAAGTGAGTTGTTCTTTCTTTTCTTTTTTTCCTCCAGTCTCCTGTGTCAGATGTTAAAAATAAAATTTTTCCAGGCACTTACCAGCAGGTATTTTTTTATCTCTTTCAATCCTGGAGTCTGTGGTTGTCAATTTTTGAGCTGCTTCTTGCTGCGAGCATGACAGGAGATGGGGAGGAGCTTGGAATGGATAGAATGCATGCTTTTGTCCGTTCTGGCAGCAACACATTCTTCTCAGTAAATCCCCTCTGTAATTTGGCAGCTTTTATCCATGAAGTGCACTTTTAAAGGCACATAGTTAGTTGCTTTTTCATGGTCTTTAATGTGTATTTGTCTGACTCCTTAGTGTGCTTCTGAGTCTTTTGTACCTGAAATATGCAGCTTTAGTGAATTTCCCCTCCTACTTTTATTGACACCACAACTTAAATTGTCGTTCTGCTGCCAGCTCATGGGTGATGAATTGTTTTCAAGCAGAACATATACTTTAATAAAAAACGTATAAAGAAGAAGTAATGCAACTTGTAGGTGATACCTCCAGCTGGACTTTTCTCATGGTAATTGTGGATTTACTACTTTAGAGGACGCACAGTACAGGAGCTAAAATGCTGTGCACAGTATTGGTTTTGTTTGCGTCAACTTATGGCCTGTTTTTGGAAGAGGAAAAAAATAAAAAAGGTTTTGTACTTTGTCGTGTTGAATATCAAGAAACCTGTAATAATAATATTTAATTTGTACCTTTCATTCTGAGATAGAATCTGATTTGTAGGCGAAAAAATTACTGTAGTTTTGCTTTCTTTTCTAAAATACATGCTATGCTAGTGGGGATTTTGTGAAAGTAGCAGGAGAATAGAAATTAAAGATAAAAAAGGGCCATATCCCTGCTATTGCAGTGGCTGTATGCGTGGTTAGTGGGTAACAAGAATTAAGTGATGACACTTAAGCAATACGGGGGAACTCCAAAATGGCATTGTGGCATCTGGTTAACTTGTTTTTGAATATAGATTGAAGCAAAACTGATTCATCATACAAGAAGTCGTGTTACCTCTAAGGGTTTCCTTATCTCTGGAGTCATTGGTATTGTATGCAATATTGAGTCCTAAATGATTAGAAGTATATCCTTCCCTGTAGCCTGACATGTGTGTGCCTAATACAGCATAAATGGGTGTGAGTGGAACTACTTTCTTCTAAGAAATCTTTGAAGTCAGCTTTTAAAAGGCTTCAGTCACCTTTTAATTACAAGAAATAAACTATTAAAAGAAGCAGATCTTTAACAATTATTTATAGACTAATTAAAAATATCTCTATTATAAATGTTTTAACTCTGAAAGATTGTCCTGTTCATTAAGGTGCCTGGGAAATTGGGAACTTTGATAGTATTAGGATAATTCAGTTTTTGAAAACATTTTTTGCAGTTTCCCAAGTTTAGCGCAGCTGCAGAATTGTTTAGTGTCTCCTTCTTAAAGTAAGTATTCGCTCAACTGGTAAAATACTTGATGTTTTAAAAGGCTTTTAAAAGGCATTTTTCCATACCTGCAGTGTAAGGAAAGATGGGGCAAACTGCCCACCGTGATCCTGCATTCTGACTGATGTTCTTTATTTCATTATCCCTTCTGTGTCAAGTTGTCAAACCAGAGCAGGGACTGGTACCTTGGACTCTAAACCAGCAGAACTTCATAGCACTGCCTAGTAAATTACATGGGCCAAACATTTTGTCTTCTCAGTGAGAGCTCACATAGTTCATCCCTCCCTTCCTTTCTGCAATACCCTCAAATCCCAGGAATCTGCTCTTTCCCATGTGGTCAGATGCACTGCCCTTCATCTCAAATGGCCCACTGTTAGTTCACCAATACCCGGAGGCATCCAGGAAAGTCTTGTTCTTGTGTTTGATGTCTTCTGGTACTGGACAGTGCTGTGACACTATTAATTCTTGCACTCAGCTATCTAGACTTCACAGAAACTGTTTCTTTAGTGAAGTAGGGAGTTCATACCGTGCCAAAGTAGGAGCCTGTGCTTTGAATCTCTGAGGGTTCAACTTTACAGGATATCTCCTTTCTACTCTTAAGTCTTGATGCAGGATGAATAAGTGTGTTTTAGAATGGAAGGCTTTGGGTTCAAGGCTGGCACATACATGTGAAAATAACTACAAATTTTGGGATAACCCAAGGAATGATTTTATATTTTGAATATTTTATATAGAGGCATTTTGGCATATTTTGTTCACATTTGTTCATTTTAGTGTATACTAATAGGTGAAGGCTTGTTCTCAGAGTGGAACACAGAGGATAGAGACTTTTCTGAAGGAAACTGAAATCAGAGCTGCACCAGACTTACTGTGTTGACATTTTAAAATTTCCCTTGTATTGGGGAATTTCCTTAGATTTTTCTTTGGAAAGGTTAGAAATTAATTTGGAGCCTGGCACCTATGATTAAGCTCAGACCAGTGCTCAAAGAACTGCTGGGTTGTCAGGGCTCCCCAGTGCCTAGCAGGGACCTTGGAAACTTGCCCAGGACTTCCTTCAACTGTGGGAGTAGAAGTTCTGATAATGTTCCTGTTATCAGGGCTTCAAGGCTTCCATCTGCAGATCCAGGAACGTAAGCTGAAGAAGGTCCTCCCAGGCCTCTCTATTCTGCTGACCTGGAGATCAAGACCCATCTGAGTCTTTGAAATACTGAGGGCTCTTCAGGCAACCTGTGCAGGACCGTGTGAGAGATGGGAAGCTCTGGAGCCCCTCTTCTGTGTCCAGGGCTTGCTGCCCTGCAGTTCTCAGGCCTTAAATCCCAGGCTGGTATGCCTGGGAGTGCTGTCCCTAACTGTATGCCTTGAAGGACAGTTTTCCTTGGCAGCTCACTTAGTAAACAGCTCTCCAAGAGGATGAGTGATTCAGTTAAATGTTTCACAGAGCATTCTGGGTTGGATGGGTTGACACATAATGACAATGTTAATTTTTTGTTTCTTATTGAGCACAGTATGTGGGCATGTCCCTGGAGTCTTAGGGCCTGTGTTGGGGGGCGTGAATACCTTGGGACCAATGGCTGACAAAGACAGTGCAGTCCCAGCGTGGCTCCGCTGGAACAAAATGACGTTTTCATCTGGGCAGGCCCACCTTTGAGAGAAGCTCAGTGGGTGGTGTTCCAGTTTCTCTGCATACATTATGCATGTCATTTTGCAGAAATTTACAGAGACTTTGGAATCTGGGCTCTCCTGGGTTTCCTGAAGGAAGACCCTTCCAACAGTGAAGAGTTGGAAGTGTGAGAGAAGCCTATTCTGTTGTCCTGTTCCTTCAACTTGTGGTTCAGTGAAAACCAGCTGTGCCAAAGAGGTGCTAATGGAATTAGCATAACGCCATAGTTGAACCTTCGTCAATCTTGGCAATTAAGTTAATGAAAAATATTGGTTATTTTTTATATAGCCAATTGACAGAATAGATTTTACCCTACGGCAACAGCTAACATTCCTGCCTTCTCTTGCATTTAAATGGGAATCATACTTTTGTACCCATCCTTCATGCCATCTGGGAGGTGTATACACACAGTTGAATCTTGCAGTGAAAACACCAGTGGTGCATTTATAGTAATGGAGAGAGTACAAGAGCTATATATTTTTGTCTTCATTCTGCGAATGAGCAATTTTAAGAAATATGAAGTCTGGTTAGCACCTTCTTCATTGGGACAGAGACTCTAAAAAGTGGTTTTCATGAAAAATAAACACCATGATAATGTACAGCAGCCTCTTGTCCTCTTTATAGGAGAGTGTTATTTACTAGGTAGAAACATGCCAAATAAATCTACTCATTTTCATAACTGTGACCTGTCATTCCAAATTCCTAGAACTGTAACCATGAGAACAGCTGACAGTTTGCTAGAGAAAAAACAGTTCTGTTCTTGCCTGCAGTGATACCAGTCCAGAAACTTTGGGGGATAGCCATTAGTGAAGCATATTTGGTTTCACTGATCTTCTTGCCATTATTTTTCATAGCACCAAATACCTTAGAAAGGACAAGTGCATAGAGAGGCACACACACTTAATAACTAACTAACTAAATTAATATATACAGTCTGAAAGTTTCAACTACTTTGGCTCAGGGGTGGGTTACATAAGCTAATGCAGTAGAATAAAATTGTTATTTTTAAAGGAAGAATAGGAATGAAGAGATGACATAAGTAAGACTGTTAATGGGGTTTTAGCCTACTTTCAAAAGGAAAGAAAGCTTGTGTAATCACTCTATCAATTCCATTTTAACAATTTCAGTAGGCTTCAGCCAAATTTGGCAGTGGCATAGACATCTTAAAGTTTCTTCAAGAACTCTTTGAAGTTCCACAAAGATCAGACTCTGGGTGGAAGAGAGGAAACCAAAATAAGTGCATACTTTTTCTCCTCTGGGGGAGAAGGTGTAAGAGGAGTTAAGCAGTTGTCTTCTGTTTTGCTTATTGACTAGCAAATTGGTATGTGCATACTGGCTAGTCCAGAGGTGCTTACATGCTTGATCCAGCTGCAGCAGGTAGTGTCTCCATGTACTGAGGGTAATTAGGAGAAAGTATGGAAGGGAGTATGCAGTGATGTGGGCTGGTGAGGTTAGGGAATATGAATGCACTAGTTAAGAGACAGGGGAGAAAGGTGACGAAATTCCCAGAAGGTGTGGAAATGTGGAGACATTGGTGGGCTTTCAAAAAAAAATTATAGATGACAGTGACAAACTGTAGATACTCTGATAAGGGTGCAGGACAGAAGATACCAGTCAACCAGAAACCAGGCTTCATTAGTTTGCTGCTCATGAAACAGCTACTTTTAAGGGAGTACCTTTCATGCTTCTAAAAGAATCGAGATTTATAATGACAGTCCCATAGACTGAAATATTCCTATTATATACTGGACAAATATGAGGTGAACTGCAGAAAAGTTCCACATTTGCACGTTGCACAGTTATTGGAACAAATTCTGAATTGAGAGCCACCTCTCAGCTTGAGGATGGATTCCTTGCCACCATATGCTTGAGTGGTGGAGTATATCAAAACATCAGCAGTATCAACTCTAATGGTGACTGTTTATTAGTAATGTGGATTCTTGTCTATAAGGAAATGAGTTGGCTCTT